GAATATCAAGGGAGGCCAGAAGAACAAACAAATCTATCATGGATGAAGTAGATCCAGAACGTTCCTTAGAAGCAACAATGGTGAGACTTTGGACATGTCATCAGGGACCAGTGCCTGGAAAAGGGCATCATGCTTGGTAAAGCAGAGGATCAGTAGAGAGAGAGAGAGAGACAGAGAGAGAGAGAGAGAGAGAGATCCTCAATCGATGAACTGACACAGTGGCCGCAACAATGGGCTCAAACATGGCAACCGTCGTGAGGGTGACGCAGGGCTGGGCGGAGTTTCGTTCTGCTGCATTTTAGGGTTGCGCTGAGTCGGAACTGGACTAACTGTACACAGTAACAAGCACCACCACCTAAACCATTTCTGGTAAAGGAAGTCCGTCCTCTGGGAACTCAGTGCAATAATCACTTGGCAACAACGAGTCCTGTGATTCTGTGGCGCCTGTGTAAGGAAACGGTAAGGTTACCAAACCAAAAGCAAATCTATTGTGGTCAAGTTCCAACTTGCAGCGGCCCTGGAGGACAAAGAACTACTGATTGCAAAGAGCTATGAAACTGATGTCAACATCTTCCTTCCAATGTGGTTATTGGATTTAAACTGTCCATTTTTTGATTCGCAACCAAGTGCTTTAATCAGTGCAGCACAAGGACTTCTTAGGGATGTTACCATATGGTGTTAATAGCTAACGCATAACACTAAAGTAATAAATACACAAACGGGCTAATACTAACTTTATGCTTCTATATGTTAATAAAGACTATTTGAGGTTTCATCCTTCAGTGAGCCACAAACTAAAAAAAAGATAATATGATCAATTTAGACCCCAAACAGCACTTTACAATGGAAAATAGATGAAGCAATTAAGAGTCCCTATAGAATTCAGTTCAATTATTGTAACTTGAAGATATGAATTGGATTAAATTATATCAATTACTTGGGAAATATGTAGATTTTTCAATGAGCATATTATTTAAAAGCTGACCTAATTTACTAATGAAAGAACAAGAGGCTTTTCATCTCTCCTTTTCCACAGAGAGCTTTTTAAAATAGTTCTCAATTTCTTGGCTCAGAACTACAATACAATTTTACATTTCCTACTTTGTCTGCTGAGCCGAGATAACTGGGAAGCTATTGTCCAGGCAGATTTTCATTTCACCCAGACCGTAGTTTCACACAAAGCAAATCTTCCAACTTAACAACCACTCCTGATCACAAACTCTTAGGCAATGCCAAGGAAGAACCCTGTGAAGGAAATTCTGTTCAAGTGCACGGTGAACTTATCCAAATAGATTTTTTCCCCTCCACCAACTCCAGTGTGCTAAGTATGCTCCATGTATATCTTTATACCATGTATGTTTTGTAATTTTAAGAAATACGTAAAACTATACAGTCCTACATCAGATGCTATTTTAACTTTTCATTTGTTTCCAACGTTTCACAACTTAAGTCTGTGATATGGCAAACCCCTTCAGAAGACTTAAATAGTATTAAAATACTGCTTTCAATTTAAAGGGCAAAATATCTGGAAAATTAAGGTCACATAAGGTTAGAGAGCCTAATGGAGTATGGATTTCTGCTTGAAGGACTTCAACCAGAAACTCAGCAATCTTAAATCTGTCTCTCCTGGATATAATAAGTTTTAAAGCTTTGAATGAATTTTTAGAATATGTTTCACATCTCTCATAACTTCCGAAAAAGATGCAGCAGAGAAGAAGCAAAGAGAAAAATTCTCTATAATAATGGAGTTTTTATGCAGTCCCAATAAGTTAGAGAGCTTCTAAAACGAAGGATGACTAGACTCATTCTTAAAGGGGGGAAATCACAAGGGTTTGGAGGTGCTCTTCGCAGGAATTTGTTCTTAGGTGTCGAGCACTTTTCAAAAGATCAAGGAATACTAGGTCCTTTGATCCAAGGTGGCATAAGTGCTACAGAACTAGTATTAAATCAATTGTTAATTTTAAAATGTAAGGCTTTCATTTCATTATTTTACAGTAAATATAGCTAGCTCCATGTCTTATTATAAAACACAAGTTGCTTTTTCAGATAGGGTACCTACACAGGAAATATTGAAAGACCAAATCACCTGAAACATGGCCAACAGTGAAACAGACAATGTAATGAACTTGTACATTTTTAAAACTGCTTTTCAAATGGTCATTATCTAAAACAGTGATTCTCAGCAAGAGTGACTGTTTCCCAGAGGACTTGTGGAAACTCACTGTCTACACCAACTACCAAAAAAACCAAAGATAACATCACCATGAAAGAGTCAATTCCAACTCACAGCCCCCATAGGTCAGGGTAGAACTTCGTAGCAATCCCAAGGCTGTAACCTTCTCCTGAAGACTGGCTGGTGCTTCAAAGGGCTGACCCTGTGGTTAAGCAGCTCAGCTCACAGCTCACTAGGCCTCCAGGCGTCCTAACATCACAGTCAGCAAAGTACAAGTATTTGTTAACTTAATCAATCTTAATTTAAATATATATATATTTCATTTCCACTTTCTTGTGAACTCAGTTGTGTCCAACAAAACTGTGTTAACTTGACAGGGCATGATTCTCAATGGTTTAGCAATTATGTAATGACGTAATTTGGTGGTTACATGATGATGTGATCATCCCCATGATAAAATGTGATGTGATCAGGGGCTTACGGTGAGCTGCAACTCCCTCAGCTCTTAGCCCTGATCTGATGTAAGGAAAGTGTGCCTTTGGTGAGGCCTGCATCCTTTCTATTTCACAAGAATGAGAAGGAGCAGAGGAGGAGGAATCTTATACCACCAAGAAAGACGAGATCGGAGCAGAGCAGGTCCTTTGGACCTGGAGTCCCTGCCCTGAACACCTCCTAAACCCAAGGGAGGATTGACGCCAGACTCAGGCTGGTCTCCAAGGCACGCCATCCCACAGATGTTGAAAGGCGACAGGAACCTCCCCCAAGAGCCTACAGAGATAAAGGCTGCTTGAGAGCAGGTGCCCTGCATTTAGATTTCTAAAGAATGAAAACACACTTTTTATAAAAGGAGCCCTAGAGGTGCAATGGTTGGAAGTCTGCACTTACCCCAGCTTGTCAGGGGTGGGAAGAACCTGTGATCTGCCCCTGTAGATTACAGCCTAGGAACCCCTGTGGGGCAGTTCTACTCTGTCACAAAGTGTCACCATGAGTCAGAACCAGCTCAAGGGCACTGAGCAACATTTTCTCTGTCCACCTGACTTCACCTAATACAGGCTCTAGAGGTAAAATGGTTACTAATGGACTGCTGATCACAAGGCTGGTAGCTCAAAACCACCGGCCGCTCTACAGGGACAAGATGATGCTTGCTACTCCCATAAAGAGTCACAGGCACAAGGAAAGTTCTACCTTGTCCTATACAGACACTATGAATCAGAATGGACTCAATGGTCGTGAATCTTAATACAGACTCTATTTTGCTTTTCTCAAGATCTGTATCCATTATTCATCAGATTCGTATAGGGGGCCAAATATGACCAATTAGATAAAAGCCACATGTCCACCAAGTATCTTGCCTATGATATGATTCCAAGGAATGCAAAAGACAGATAAGAGTGAGCACTAAATTCTCACTCCAAATAACAGGCAAAAATTTTCCCCAATGCCTTTAGTGTTGTGTGATCTCAAAAATATGTTTTCAGCTACAGGGATTTATGTACTATTATTTTATTTGGCCACATTTGTTAATACACCAAATTATTTCAAATTTACAAGTCCAACCCAAATGACTAAAACTGAAACACTCTTTAAAAGACATTCAAAATATAAACAGTATCATTAGAAAAGATTAAAAGGTTTCTGTGTGTATACACTGGTACAGATAGGAACTGGAAACACAGGGAATCCAGGACAGATGATCCCTTCAGGACCAGTGGTGAGAATGGTGATACCGGGAGGGGAGGGTGGAGGGAAAGTGGGGTTGAAAGGGGGAACCGAATACAAGAATCTACATATAACCTCCTCCTTGGGGATGGACAACAGAAAAGTGGGTGAAGGGAGACATCGGACAGTATAAGACATGACAAAATAATAATAACTTATAAATTATCAAGGGTTCATGAGGGAAGGGGAGGGGAGGGAGGGGGAAAATGAGGAGCTGATAACAAGGGCTCAAGTAGAAAGCAAATGTTTTGAGAATGATGAGGGCAACAAATGTGCTTGACACAATGGATGGATGTATGGATTGTGATGAGTTGTACGAGCCCCCCAAAAAATGATTTTTTTTAAAGTTCCTATGATCTTCCTAAATATTAATTCACAATGTTTGATTTAAAACAATCTTAAAGTTATAATTTACCAAGGGGTTAAGAAGGAGGAGGGGTGAAGAGGAGCTGATACTAAGGGCTCAAATAGAAAGTAAATGTTTAGAAAATTATGATGGTAACAGATGTATAAATATGCTTGACACAATTGATGTATGGAATGTTATAAGAGCTGTAAGAGCCTCTGATAAAATTATTTTTTAATAAAATAAATAAATAAAACCATCTTAAAGGCATTTAAAATCTGATGTTCCTATTTTAATCTAAGATGAAAACTACCCCGAGTAAGAATAAGATTTTTGTGTCTTTCCACTCTGCCCCCTCCCAGATTTTTATGTGTAGTAAAGTGAAATTTCTTTTTTTTTTTTTTTAACTTTTTAAAGCAGTTTTATTTTTTTACTCCAGATTAGCATATTTGGGATTATTTTAATATAAGTAAAATGGATTGAACTTGATTACAGTATATCAAATGTATGCCGTATGTGTCTGATACAATCATAAAAATATCACTTTCAAATTCAATATGAATTTGAAATGTGTAACTACGCATCCATTTATTATTAACTTACTGCAAAATTTTTAATCTCTAGAATCGTCAAAGATAGTATTAGGTACATTCCTAAAAGGCACAAGCTAAATAACTGGAAATTAAAAAGTTAAAATCAAAACTATCTTAGTAACATTGAAAGTAAAGCTTTATAGATTTTTTTAAATAATAGAATCATTAGGAAACAATAATCAATAGGCACATTTATCCTTAAGGTGCTTATCCTGTTTGAGGACTACTCTCCCACCTATACTTTGGCCTTTGCATGAGCTAAGATGTGAGCTTTCAGGTTACTTGACTGAATAAACTTCCGGTAACAGCCTTGATAGGGGCACGAAAAGCGTTTCTCACCAGTGTGGATTCGTACATGTGTGCGCAAATTGAAGTCCAGGGAAAAGCGCTTCCCACACCCTTCAAATGTGCACTGGTAGGGCTTTTCTCCAGTGTGCACCAGAAAATGTCGCTTCAGTTTTGAACTCTCAATGAAAGCTTTCCCACATTCTGCACAGACATGGTCTCGGGGACCATGAACTAGGAGATGTTTTCTCAGGGAGGACTTATCCTTAAACTTCCTTGGACATCCACCCTGAGGACAGGGGAGTGTTTTTTGATCATCATATTCTGTATTTTTTCTCGGCTTCTTTTTAGTAAATTCTGTCAGCTGTTTAGGATCAGATAAGTCAACACCAGGTATTCCGCCAGGGGGAAGCTTCTTGCCAGTCATGTACTCCGAATACACAAGTGAATTCTCTTCAGCAAACCGTTGAGAAAGGTTTGGTCTGGCCCCTTCTTTGGTGTATTCCAAAGAGCATTCAAGTGAGTTGTCTCCAAGAAGTGAATTTTCTCCAAGAACCTGCTGAGCAAGGGTTTGTTCTGATTCTTCTTTCAGGTATTCCAAGGATTTAAAAATCAAGTCTTCATCCAGGATGGGTTCTGAAAACTCACCTCGTATTATGCATTCAATGTAACACTCAGGGAAGGGCTCGTCAACTGCCTGCAGACCAGTGTCAGAGTGCACGCCGCCTTCATCACATAAGGCCCACATTGTATTAGCAGGTTCCTCCTCTGCCTGCAGCATGGGGCCACACTGCACTTGGTTTGGCTTAGTCGCAACAAAGGCCCTTTCACCTAGGCCCTTATGGCAACTTTTCCTCAATCTCTTCTTCATTTGCTGTTCCATGTTCTATCTGCTTCCGTCTTGAAGATTTACAACAGGATCTATCAATCAGGTTTAGGTAGTAGCAATCTGGTTTGCAGCAAGCACCTTTCTAAGTTAGTCTTTGCAGGTCTTTGAGTATTAAATCAGCCCACAGTATACAAGCCCACAGGGCGGTCCGACGTCTCCTACCATCTTAAAGGCAGATTTTTATGTGTAGTAAAGTGAAATTTCTTAATAGGGTTCTTCCACCCATGTCTCTGTCACCAAATTATTGACTATGCAAATAAGCCATATGTAACACTAAAAGAGAGAATTGGTCAGTTGTAGTTGCCACTCCCCTGGTTATAAGGATGAGCCATCTCAGAAACAGGAACATACAGCAATCCAAAGACCATCAAGAAAGAAAAGCCATCAGGGGAGCACGTTCAATATCTCTGTCTGAAGTATGGAAGCTTCAGCCCAGGGGCAAGAGAGGCCAAGGCTATGAGACTGTGAGGTGGAGCAGAAGCTGGCTTCCTGGCCCATGGAGGCAGAGGCCAAAGGGCCATGTCATTGAGAGGCTGAGGACTAGGCAGAGACTTGGTTGCTGGCTGGAGAGAGGGGTGGTGTGGACTAATGACTGCACACCTAATGTTTTCTGATCCTGGCTTGTGGTAGCCTGTTAACTTCCCCAATACACTCCCGTAAGGAACAGCAGACAATGTAGATATGAAAATAACAATAATTTATAATTTATCAAGGGTTCATGAGGGAAGGAAGGTAGGAGAGGGAGGGAAAAAGTGAGGAGCTGATACAGGGCTAAGTAGAAAGAAAACACTTTGAAAATGATGGTAACATATGTGCAAATGTGCTTGACACAATGTATGTATGGATGGATTGTGATAAGAGCTGTAAGAGTCCCCAATAAAATGATTTAATTAAAATATATATAGCATATATACTCGAATATAAGCCGACCCGAATATCAGCTGAGGCACCTAATTTTGCCACAAAAACTGCATTAAAAAAGTGTTGAAAAACTCAGCTTATACTCAAGTATATATGGGGTATGTGTGCGTGTGTGTGTGTGTGTGTGTGTGTGTGTGTGTATACCCCCTTAATAGTGAGTATTGCCTGTGAGTTGTGTATGGGCATTGTACCAAATTATTGAACCCGGCAGAAAGGTAGAGTGTTGTACAAAGAACACTATCTTTAACTGTTAGCTAGCTAGATGCCAATTTTATTTACAAGTATGTAGCGTGGTATTTATCTCTCAAAAAATATTATAAACAACTTTTTTAGATTTCCAACGTTTAACTATATACACGATAATTTTATAAGTAAATGATATAGTCAAGAAAAATAGTCCCTGATAATTTTCATATCCTCAATCTTTATAGAGCCATCTATTTTTCCAGGGTTAAATATTAAGAACAATATAGCTCATCCTAAAAATATTAAATTCCCAAATGATTATATAAGGGGAGAAAGTAAATGGCACAAAGAAATGCTTCTGGCCAAAATAATAACATTAAATGAATTACAAATACCGAATCAATCACAAATGTTTACATCTACTATTGTACTTTTAGCGACTCTTGGAGACAAATGTTTCTATAAGAAATGCATCACTGTTCTTTATTTTTAAGCATTGCCCTGAGATAATATTAGTCCAATAACACTCTAAGAACCACATCTGCTAAAGCCATGACATGGTTCTATAGCCATAGATTGAAGAGCAATTTAAACGCTGCTCAAATGTTTATTCAGGCAGAATGAAAGGGACCATTTCTCAAAGGGAAGTGGTTTTTACCAAAAACTTATTGATAGGAAGTTGTCTACCAGAGGTGTAGGCACAAATGACTAAGTGAACAAGGCAATTCCTTGTTGATTATTCCAAACTCATCTGAAGCCACGTGCACTTGAAAACCCAAAACAATCAAAATAAGTACATTTTCTAGACATAATTTCAAATCCAATTCTCCCTGCTGGGTGTCAACAACCAGAGAGAGTGTTGATTTGTTCTTTTCACTCTTTCTTATGGCTAAATGAGCATGCAAACCTTCAAAAGAGAGACAAAAATGGAAATAACAGCATCCTTTATGAATTTAAAATTATCTCTGTAAATCAATGTCACTGGAATGGGCAAAAAGGTATATAAGCATCCCAATCAAGTGGTATTTCTTTATAAGACAATTTCAAATTTCTACATTTGAAATTATTCACATTGCAAAGGATTTATATACATCAGCCCCTTGATGCACCTATGTAGAGCTCAACTGTTGTTTGAAATTAATCCAAAAAAACCAAACCCACTGCCATCGAGTCAATGCCGACTCAGAGCAAACCTACGGGACAGGGTAGAACTTGCCCTGTGGGTTTCCAAGACTTAACTCGTTAAGGTAGAAAGCCTTGTCTTTCTCCCCAGTGCAGCTGGTGGTTTCGAACTGCCAAACCTGTGGTTAACAGTCTAACACACAACCACTTTGACAATAGGGCTCCATTCAAAAGTAATCTAGGCACCAACGATCAACTTATAAATTGTTTCAATATTTTTACTGATCATCTATCTACTAAGTGTAAGCGACTGTGCTAAGCACAGTGAGAGCAGCAAAGTCTCATCTACCTCCAGGTCTCAAGTGTTTACAAATCTAGTTGGAAAGATGAGAATGCCTAGAAATAGCTTCAAAGCAAAACAAGAAGGGAGAAGTGCCTATGAGCAGTCAATAAAGTTCTCCAAGAGATCAAAAGAAAAGGGCATCACTTCCAGTTGGGGTAATCAGAAAATACATCAAGATTAGATGGTAATTTTTGGATGGAATTTGGACATTCTTAGAAAGTGAAAGTGGATTATAAGGGGAGAGAGAGAAATGCAAGCAAAGGTGGGCATAGGAAGGGGGGAGAAATCCATGCTCATCCAGAAATTTGCTTGCTTAAGGAGAGTACTGTGAAATGAAGAACAATTACAGGGAAACTAGGAAATAGAGGTTCGCACCAATTTGGGAGGGTCTGATCATGAGGCTGTGAAGTCTAACTTTATTGGGTAATTGGGCAGCTAGTAAAAATTTCTGAGCAGGAAAAAGCATCATCAAAGTTGTTCTTTAGAAAGATCAATCTAGCGGTAATTGAAGTAACTGTGCATCAATCAAATGTAGATGATATAGCGCAGTGAGTATAATGTAAGCCTGCAGGAATTTAGGAATTCATTTATAAAAATGTAATTTATATGCATCTTTTCAGTAACACAGCTCTATAAACTGCCTTGCTCATAGACTAGTACCTAATTATATAAGCATCTAAAAAGGTCATAAGTACTATAAAATGATATCACAAAACTTCTTGCCTCTGCCTGGAAATCCTTCCACCCCCTCTCCCTTCTGGTAACTCCTCATCCTGGAGGTCTCAGTTTAAATGTCACTTCCTCAGAAAGGCCTTTCTTGAATCACTTATCCAAATTAGGGCCCCTGGATTTCTCTTTCAAAGCAACTTGTACTTTTTCTTCATAGCACTTATCCCAACTTATAATTATACATATTGATCCCTAATTGATTAAAATCTGTCTCCACCACTAAATTGTGAAGGGAAAGGTTGCGTCGTCTCTGCTCATTACAGTTTTCGGAGCCTTAAAGGGCATAGTGTAGCTCCTTAACAAATGCTGTTCCATGGAAAACAAAGGAAGGAGGAAGAGAACAGATGTCTACGGCGACTGTCGCAACACTCCTCTTTGCTAGATATCCTACTGGCTAGGATGCTTTCTTTCCCAGAGATCATTAAAAGAAATATTAAATTTCAACTTAAATGCCTGTCTACTAAAAGCATAAGCTTCCAAGAAAACCTCGTATGTCAAATGGGAAAATACTTCTTTCCCTTGGTTTTACAGATAAACTCATAACGCAGTGAGTGAACTGGAATGAGGCACTGTAAGTCACGGGCTCAAACCTAAAAAGAACTACAATATTCTGCATCCGCGGTTCTCAACCTTCCGAATGGTGCAACCCTTTAATACAGCTCCTCATGTGGTGGTGCTCCCCAATCATAAGGGTTTTTTTGTTGCTACTTCATAACTGTAATGTTGCTACTGTTATGAATTGGGCGACCCCTGTGAAAGGGTCGTTCGACCTCCAAAGGGGTCATGACCCACAGGTTGAGAACCGCTGGTCTACATCTTCACTAGAGAAGTGGGAAATCACAGAAACACTCAAAGAAAGGTAAGTAAGCTCCTTCATGAACAATTCCTGGCCCCAAAGTTGGCTTTCAGTTACATGTTACTTCTGCCTATGTACTTTCTGCCATGAAATTGGTCCAAATCTTTTCTTAATATGATAATAAACTTACAAAAGATTAGCAATGTAATGAACTTTAAGGCACAGAGGTCTAGAGAAGAACAAAGTAGCTCAATACCGAATCTGATCCTTACACATGGGCCTCCCCAAAGTTTTTATTTTGAAAAATTCCCTAATCCAACCAAACAGGTGAATTATGAAGTCTAACAGAGAAACAACTAAAGAAGTTGGTTTAAACTTGGAAATTCTGCAGTAACTTGGTACAATGGGAGATTGGTAACAAAGGTCATTCTTTCCAACATTCATTTGGGAGTGTGGTGAACCCAAATTTTAGAAATGGCCCAGTCACAAAATAAAAATGCAAGCAAACCAACACAGATGTATTCAAAGAGGTTCCCCGGGATTTGCTGTAAAACGACATCTGTGTCCTGATGGGGAAACCAGGGACTCCTGGCGGTGCAGTAGCAGATGGACTGTGGGGCTGCTCCCCCAGCGCCAGCGGCCCCTCCTCAGGAGAAGAGTAGCCCCACAGAAAACAGAAGTCACCCAACCGAAGTCCGACCACAGAAAACGGAGGACTTATGGGGAACACCCCTCCAGGCATCGTCAGTGACCAAGAAGAACACGAAGGCCGAGTGCTTACACGTTAAAAAGGTTAAGGAACAGGTGACCATTTTTACATAAACATGCCGCATTATCTGGAAAAGGGGCTGACGCCTGCTTGCGGGTGTGTGCGTGCATTCACAAGACGGACGGCGCCCCTGCGCTAGCAGCGGGGCCTCCTCGGCTCAGGGAGGGGGTGCGGGTCCCTTCGTGGACCAGTTTCTCATGGAGAAAACCATGGATACGCAAAGCGGAACAGCCTGA